CCATTCTTTCAGCACAGATATGTGCTTATGTGCCAGAATAATTTGGGTTTGTGTCTGACACAGGAGATCTGACTTATGGAGGGACTTCAGTCGGGGCTGTTATTCTTGGAGGACTGAGGAAATGAGGGCACATCTTCCCTGCCCTTAGTGTCCAACTGAAGACACCTTTCAGGTACGAGTTGTTTTCTGTTGATGGCCAGAAAGGTGAATGACGTGTAAGCCCTCTTTTAAAGTGAAGTGAGAGGGGAAGGAAGAGAGAGAGAAGGGACGGAAAAGTCCTGAAGGGTTTTCTTCAGCCTGGCTTAATTTGGAGGTGACACTTCATATGTCAATTTAAATTAAGCCATTTCAAAGAGCATCCACCCCAGAGCCTCTCATGCACTCTTAAGACAGCAAGCGTGGGGCACGTTGGGTGACTGACACAACTGAGGATAGAGAGGGAGGGAGCTGCAAGAGCTGCTGAGATGAGGTATTTCATGGCAGGGCTGCTTTGTCCCCTGACATGTATGATCTCTTGTAATTACTGGGATGTAGTTCACCCCTGTTTTCTTTATCACACCTTTGGGCCCAGTGTTCTAGTGTGTTAAGTCCAGGTATCTTGTACTTATGTCATAGTTTTCTGCAACTGTCCTGATCTGGGTAAGGATTAAATAGGAATCTCTGGGCATTGAACAGTTAATGTTCTAGAAAGCTAACACCTGCATCTGCAGCCTTGTCCCCTCCTATGCAGCTGTATAGCACTTCATGATGGCAGGGAAATAATTCAGTAAAACCAGGCCCTGCTCTGTGGGCAGTGAATAAGCTCAAGTGAAGTAGAGGTCACTCGTGTTAATCTGAAGCAAATAGGATTGTGGGACTGGGGGAAGAGGGTGAACCTCCTTTTATGTACAAATTCTATAGCTCAGAGGCTTAGGAAACACTTAATAGTAAACATTTGCAAAGAATCCATGCCATTAACCTTTTCCGAGAGGGGAGACGAATGGTTTTCCTGCTTCCTTTTGAGCAGGTCTCCGTTTTGGTACGTATGCAAATTGTGCTGGGTGGCAGTGTCTCATACAAATCAGTCTGAAATGCAGAGGCAGCCATGCAAGCAAAATGGCTTGCCTTTCCCTGCAGCTGTAACGAGACTTCTAGCACAGGAGAACCAGACAGGGAGAGAGCCTGATTTGTAAGGAAGCATCAGAAAGAGAGAGTAAAACCGGGAATCCTCCTAAAATGCTGTCCGAGTAGCAGAAAGCTTTGCATCCATAGTACAGTGCTGCCCTGCATTTTTGGTGACCAGAGGAGCATCCAGCACTGTTTTGTTTTGCTTTGGGTTTTGGAGCATCCTTATCCTGACTTCTCAAGTCATGGAAATCTATGAGCAGCTCGTGGCTGTGCAGAACTGGGAAGAAGAAATGAACTGTACCTTTTTGAGATCAGGACCAAAATGGGCATGGAAGTTAGTACAGATATGAAACACAAGCAGGCAGCTTTGCAGGAATATTGACTGACTGTTGTAAAGACTCTGTGAGGGCTGGACATTACATTGTGCTGCTGATGTTCCCTGTCCCAGATCCTTTGTGGATCTATGAAACAGGCTTTCCCATTCTGTTTATCAGTAGTTACTGATATGCCTGTATAGGATCATCCCAATTACAAATCTAATGTGTCTCCAACCCCTTTGCAATATTTCTTTTATGGGTTGGGTAGGGCATCAGGCATTTACATTTCTAAGGAATGAGTCCCCTGTTCTCTCTGTCTTGTGCTGTGCTTTCCATAAAATATACCAGGAGCGAGTATCCAGCAGGTTAGACTGAGTTTGACTTTCTGAGTCTGCAATGTCTCTTGGTTAACACAGTAACAAGACCAAACATTATTTAATTTTAGTGATAGGTGACAGCAAAATAGCAAAGAGACTGGAAGCTGATGAAAGTTCATAAAGACATGTTCTTCCTTGGCTTTTTTTTGCAGCTAGACCTTTCTGGAATTCTGGCTGGTTCAACCCTGCTGGGCTGGAGTGAGCCAGCAGTGACTGCTGGATGTGCGTGGGGCTCTCAGCAGAGCGTTCAGGGCGCTCCATCAGGCAGGAGAAGGGGTGTTATCGATGTCCTCTCTGTGTAGGTGCAGGCCCTCCTTGCTTTCAGCTGTGAGAGAGAACAGTGTGGCTGCAGACTCGCACTGTGCCTGGCTGCATCAGTTCCCACTTGCTCTTTGATCTTTTTTCACATTGAGTAACAGGCAGCATGACTGCAATGTGATGCTCTGGCTGCAGACTGCATTGTCTTGTTGGAAAATGAATTGCCTCTGAGCCTTCAGTCTATCTCCTGGGCTGTTTCCTGTTACAACCAGGAAAGCTGGGATTTCCACGTGATTTTGAAGCGCATAGTTCTGCTGTACAGAGAAATCCCGTCTCTGTGTTCATTTGTTGCTGCTTCTGATCCCTCCTTTTCTCTTCCATTATCTCAAATGCTTTTGGAAACTTCATTTTCAATGCACTATATCATCTTATTTGAGTTCCCTTCTGTGGGCATCATGGTTCAGTGGAAAATGCAACACTGTTTTGAAATGTTTGCAGATGAGATAGGGAAAAGCACATCTGTGAGTTATTAAGGGCGAGAGTAATGTCTTTTACCTTTTGAGTTTACAGATTTTTTTTGCCTTTTTATCTGCCAAATACTTACTCTTTCCAGCATTGTCTGAGTCTGGAGGGTGTTGGGTGTCTGTCTTGGTGGAGAATTACCCTGGATGTGCAGCCTGGGTGAAGCTGCCTTGGGCATCTCCTGAGCGCTCTGGCTCTGTGGCTCAGCCCTTCTGCGCGCGCTTGCTTGTCTCGAGTTCAGCATTTCAGCTCCTATCACTCATGAACTGATTCTGTAGTGGGAGACTTTGGTATTTTATTTTGTTCATCCTCATGTGAACTGCAGGTTTCCATAAGAACCTTGGCTGCACTCTTCCCTTGGCACCAGAAAGCCTCCCTTCCCCAGTGGGGACAGGCTGCTGCTTGTGCTCATGACCCCTCTGCCTCTGCAGAACGGGTGGGTGACAACAACAGCTGGGTTTTTCCAGTGAGTTCCTGGTCAGACCCTTAAAACTCACTGGAGATTAAGCAAGTTAAACCCAGCTTTTTCATTGACCTCTAAAAACAATCTTTAGACAAAAAAGTTTTTTTTATTGTGGTAGAATTTTCCCATTTGTGAGGTTTTGTGTGTGGAGGTCAAATATTTGGTTAATGCTTCATTTTCATGGCCTGTTGTAAGTTGTGTCCCTTCCATTCCTACCGTGTTCTGGCAGAAAGGGAGGAGAGATATCATAACACAAGTAATGTCCTCGTTTCCCCAGCTTCCCTAGGATGCAGAGGTATGTGATTGCCACTTGTTTTTGCAGTTTTTGTCTGAAATAGTCTTTAACTCCAGCCATTAAAAGCATATTGGGCTCGTGTTGGTTATAATTGCTAAGGTGCAGGAGCTGCTTTCTAGAGGTGCCAAACACCTGGGAACTTCATTTGAAATGGAAAGTGTTTGGTGCTTCTAAACCCAAGTTTACTGTGGAGGGAAGCACTGGGAGGAGGAGCCTTTTTTGTCTTCATTTCTTTCCCTCTGTCTTGCAGGCATCTGTATCCAGTGAAGCTTTCCATGAGCATAGCAGGTTCCACATTGCAGTCACTGGGTTTCTCACCCCACTGTAGGACTGTTCCAAGGTTAGAAGCTGGCTTGCATTTTTAACTTATGGGCAACCTACACCTACTGCCAACATCATCAAGAAAGAAAGGCGAGATGCAAAGGCTGTGTTTTAATTAGGCCACAGTCTAATTAACTCACCTGTGAGGACAGGCAGACTGCACACTGTGATTTTCTTGCTCATTCCCACCTCTTTGGGGATTTGTTACCAATCTTTCTCTCTCTGTGGGAAGAACCTGGAAGCCAGGAGTTTTGAGCTCTGTTTCTGGGAGTGCTATTGATTCACTCGTGACCTCGTGCAAGTCACTTTGGGTTTTGCTTTGGGGGTTTTACAAGCGTAGGAGAGAGATGAACACACTTCCTTCACTTCTCGGCATTTACTGTGAGCCCTAATTAACACTTAGGAAGCAAGGGGCTTTAGACTGCAGGGTGCAGCAGACGTATATTGCTATGGGAATACAATTAATAAATAATAGCACATATGGTACAGGAGTTCCCAAACTGCATATTCCAGTGGTTTATTTTCATTATTTGTTTACTGTGTACTGTCTATGTGAGTCATACTATACATCTTCTTAATTTTTCATTACTGGTGGAGAAAACCTGGGCAGGCAAATTAATATTCTCCCTCCTAAAATACTGAGTTAATGGTACTGTGATCCCAGGTAATGGGAAACTATTACTACTGTGTCCAGTTGTTCTTTGGCTGCCAGTTCTCAGATTCCAGCTTTCCCACTGTGGCCCTGTTCACAAGAGGATGGGACAGTTCTAACCAGATAGTCTGACCTCCCATGTGAAATCTTTTATCCAAGGTTTGAGCAGGTCATTTAGACAGACATCCAGTGGGGATGCAGAAACTGTAAGTCAGAGAATCTACTGCTTCACTTAGTAAATTATTTCAGTGGTGCATTGCTTTGGTCTAAAAATGCCCCCCTTACTTATTTCCAGCTTCATCTTTTTTGTGTTTCTCATCACGCTTTTGCTTAAAATTAAAAAGGCCCAAGCATCCACTAATCTCAGGATGTTTCACTGCACAGGTACATACAGACTGTGAGTGAGATGCATTTTAACCTTCTCATTACTAAATTACAGGCAATGAGCTCATTTCTTCTCTCTGAAAGATGGATTTTCTGGACTTTAAATTCTTTTTTTCTATCTCTTTTGCTAAACTCAGTGCCATCAGACATTGTCCTTTTTAGAGCAAGCTCCAGAACTGACACTACAGCAACCTGGTAATGATGGCTAATCACTTTTATCATGAGGTGTGTGCATTACTCAGCTGCCTTCCTGGAAGAGTTTAGGATCTAAGCCTCCTGCTTTGCAGTGGTTCTTTGAAGAATGAGTATCTTTCTGGCTCCAATTCTAAGAATTTTTCCTGTGTGAAAGTGAAAAAGCAAACAGGAGTGGGTGAGTGAACAGGGAGTGGAAGGAAGGAAAGGGAAGGGAGAGGGGTAGTGGCTGCTGTGATCTCAGGGAAGGCTGATGTGTATGTCTGTACAAGGCAGTAAGAAGATCTTGCCCTGCAGGGCATTAATTGTGAGTGTAAAAGGGTGAGTTTGGCTCCATGTCAAGGACAGCCATGAAAGAAGACAAATCCTAAGCCTGCGTGGCTCAGAAATGAAGTGTCTCTGCTCTTTCCAGAGCTTGTACTAAGGAGACTTAATCCATCCTAGTGTGATTTTGTTGCACTTTTGGATGTGTTTTATCCTCCGTGCTCCAATCCTTTGCTCTTCATCTCTCAGCAGCCTTCATATTACTTGTCAGTTAGATTGGCATGTTCCCACTGTTGCCAGCTTCTTTAATTTTGCCAGACTTTTTTCAAAAAGCTCCCATGAGAGTAATTATTGCCCTGATGAGGGTAGGTGTTCCATGGTTCTCCTTCAGTGGGCACAGCTCAGGTAGCATGGAGCCTCTGCTAAGTCTCCTGGATATTTTGGGGGAGAAAAATAAGCAGTGGTGTCCAGCAGATGCTTTTGACTTGGGCCCCTTCAATGAAATATTCCTCTGTGAATAGTGTGCATGTTTGGGATCCCCTTGCTTCTCTTTCCCAAGTAAACTGGATAAATTACCCATCTTTGTCCCTCAGTGCCTTTCACTTCAAGTGTGGTGATTCCCTGTTGAGATCACTCATGGCAGAGCCATTCTTTCTGCCTCTTAAGTACACTCTGCAAGATACCTGGGTAGCTGAGTCTTGGGGGTTCTCTTTCCAGCTGCAGTCCTGAGAAACTGAGGTTCCAGAGGCCAGGCAGTCTTTCGAGGAAGAAGCCAGTATATGTTAGGTGGATATTTTTTGCATTGGTGTCTTCTTATCCAGTTAGCAGGAGCATCACAAAGAATCTCTTGAGATCTCAAGTATTTCCTTCACTGTTATCCTTTCCCTACTAGGAAAACATGTTCATTTTACTTAAACAGTTCTTGTAGCAGATTATGTAATGAATCCACCTGATTTATTTCCTGCAGCTGATGAGAACAGAGAGTTTGGGATATTGGAGAAGGCACAGACTTTTTCCCCTGGGAAGGGGACAGGAGCCAATGGTTCCCGTGTGCTCTGGGTCTGAAGAGCTCCACACCCCACAAAGTGGCTTTGGAAAGGTTAATTAAGGGAGAAGGTGCCAGCAGATGGCATCATGAATACACAACATGGTCTCAGGGTTTTGAAGGGCCACAATCACTTCTGGGCCCGTATAGCAAAAGTGCAGAATAGGGAGCATTCACATGCTGAATTCAGACACTCTAGGGCAGGTGGTCAGTGCTGCAGGAAGCAGATAGCCTGGGGTTGGTGAGACCCCCCCCCCCATTTCCGTTCAGAGCAGCTCCTCTTTCCATGTCTGGTGGGTACAAGGACACTGGAGGGACATGTAGTGATGCAGCCCTGCTAGTTCAGTGATGTCACTGCCAAAATTTTGGGTTTTTTGGCAACGGGATGGCCTACACAGCACCAGGTATGCTGGAATCAGATGGGGTGGCACGTGCCTGCCTGGTGCCTCTCCTGGGACAGACCTGTCCAGCTGATGTCTGGTGCGAGTAGTGGCCAGAACTGGGGCTTCAGTCTGCTGGCATTTGTTCCTGATGGGGAGAGCAGTGACATTCAGCTTCCATTAGAAGACAAAAATGGCATCACAGGCCATCTGAGGGCACATTTTCAGCAGCCAGTGAAGGCAAGGTATGGGCTCTATTTCTGAGAAGATTAGTCTGTTCCCGCTCCATGGGACTTGTCAGCCCAGCAATGATTAGTGAGGCAAAAGCAAAGTCTGCAAAGCTCCTTCTGCCTGGCTTTGGTGAGAGAAGGTGATAAGGGATTCGTTGTGCAAGCAGGAGATAATTGGCAGCAGTAGTATGAAGCAATGCCAGTCTCTTTGCCATAGCAATCGTCCAGAGATTTTGCTCACAGCTGTGATTCACCTTGCTGTGCAGACAATCTGTTCTGGACCACGCAGTGTTTCAGAAGGAGCAAGGCTGCCACATAAAGTCACGTGGGACTGCCCAAGGCTGTGTGCAGGATTGAGTGTGAAAATCCATTTTGCTGGTGCAGGGCTTGGGGGAGGCAGGTGGAGAAGGGACTGCACCTCCAAAGGGCGAGTCAGCCTTCCCTTCCCTCACTGCAGACACCAGTGTAAGTCTAGCTAAGACTGTACAGCCACTTAACTCTTTGGGAATAGGAGGAGCTTGACTCCAAATGCCTCAGCCTGAAATGACACATCAGATCTCTTATGGGAGGTAGAGCCCATGTCTTGTGTGATGACAAGCTTGAGGGAGCAGGGGTGGGTCTCTCTGGTGATATCTGTGTGGAAAAGTGAACAGAGAGATTTTGGCTTAGCTGAAAGCCACACTGCTTGTGTCTTACTTTCTTCTGTGTCACATACTGCAGCCCAGGCTTGATGTGTCTGCCCTGTGCATAGGGAGAGTGGGATCAGGCTGTCTCGTAGTAGCCTTGACTGTAGCTTGACCTGCAGGTGTCAGCTCCAAGGAGACAGTGTGTTCAGGGTGACTGGGCTTGGCTAAGGTGATCCCTTGGGAGCTTCAGTCCAAGTCAACAGGAGCTGAAATGTTGACAATAGGTGAGTGAGCCATCCCACCCAGCAACATATGTCTGCACTGTCCAGCTTTGAGTCTGTGGCCATATGTCACTTTGTCCTGTAAAAAGTGAGAGTGCCCTGGAGCTGTCCAGCCCCGTGTCAGTCCCGGAGCTCTGCCCCAAGGAGCTGCTCTCTCCAGAAATGGCTCCTTACCTGCATCTGCAGGGCAGTGTGCAGCCCTCTGAGAGGTAACACTCAATATGTGCCAGAGGGATGGTGTTTCTCTTCCTCTGATGATGACGAATTTATCTGGCATTTCCATCCCTGCCTTGCTGAGACTTTCTGAACTTCTGGGATTTCCTCCCCTCACCACGGGAGAGCAGTTGTTCCCGCTGGGATAAGCACCCAGCACCTCCTTGAGCAGTGGCTCTCCCTGGGCTGTTCAAGATAATTGGCCTGTTTCCCTGGTGTGGAACCAACGGCTGTGCAAGGAGGCTAACGAGAAGGAGCCAGGGTAGCAACAGGATTAAAAATATGTATGAGCAAACATCTTGTTTCAACTGCAAGGATGCACTGAAGCGTGAGAGTCTGGGTCCTGCAGAAAGCCAGAGGCAGCCTGGGTTGGCATTCACACTGGCAGCTGCACAGTAAAGCTGTGCTGGTAGCACAGGAAAAGTGGGGGCAGTGTCTTACTTACACTGGTGTAAACTGGAGTAATGTCAGGGAATCACCTGTGATATTTGGCTGCATCCTGTAGGTTGGATTTTATGGGTACCAAAAGAAGGAAATATCTCATGGAACGTGGAGGTTAGCAGAACAGTTGGGCAACCATGCAGGTTTGTAGCCTTTGTGATGCATGAGAGCACCCAGACACCATTGCTGCGACAGGGATTCCCTGATCCCATGGGAGCTTCCTGGCTGCTCAGATTTTGGCAGGCTCGGGGTGGAAGGGAAGTCTTTCCTGGCACAACAGCACGGGACAGGTCAGAAGCTTCAATCAGCCCCTGTCTCCAGTGGCATTGCTGTCATGTGTTTATCTTGGAAATCAGACCCTCCAGCCCCATCTCATAGATTAGCAATTCCAATAGAAATAATTGGATTCAGTCCATTGTATTTAACATTTTAATGTCAGCTGGGGATTTCTTCCTGATCCCAATTCTTGATTAGGTGACATCTTTAAGCACCAGATTCTCTGAACACCTGACTTTCACAGCTGGTGGTGAGGGCTGAAATGTAGTGCTTCCTGCACTGTTGAGCTTTATATCCTTGACTCAAAAGGTCATCTTCATGATTCTTGAAATGGAATTTTACATTTGTTTTTGATCTGTACTGGATGGAGAACAAAACTTCCATAAAGTTGCCATGAATTAAGTGTTCTCCCATCCTTTCCATACAGAAACTGATGTTTCCCTCAGCTTTCTAAAGAAGCTGATCACTGAAAGTGATTTGAAAAAGTCTCCAGCAGGTCTCACCCTCTTTCTATGGACTGTCTTGTGCTCAGGGTCTTATCAACGTATCTTTCCTTAATCTTGGTGTTCAAAACTCTTCTACTGTTTGGATAAGACCTGTCAAACCTGGGTTGCCTTGTATGCTGAAATGCGTAGTTCAAGAATCATGAGGGAAAACTCCTGTTTTGTCAGAAAACTCATGCTGCGCTGCCTCTGAGCTCTGAAATTATGATAAAAAGATTATTTCTGGGATAGTGGCCTTCTGTCTTCAAACTAATGGTTGGTCCTGTCTATGCTATGTCAAAGCAGACTGTAACTTTCTCAGTGACATGGAAGATAAATCTATGGAACGAACTTCTTGTACCTGCACATGTGCTTACCTAGGTAACCAGCCTTTACTATTTCTTGTGGAATTCTCTTTGTGGCCAAAGAAAACCAAGAGTTTGGAGACAAACAGTAGAAATAGTGCTTGGCATGAACAGATTTGGCACATTTTACTGGCTTTGCAGTGAAGAGCTGCAAGTATGTGCAGAGTTATGGGGGAGAAAGGGAAGGAAGGTGCTGGAGGGTTCACAGACAGTGATGAGGAGGAGAGTGGGATATTCTCCTCTAAAGAAGTAGGTGCACTGAGGTTGTCTTGGAGGCAAGGCTGTGTTTTAGGCTCTAGTAGCTCCTCTCAATACATATAAGTTTGGGGTTTAGCACATTCTCCATTTACTATCATGATGTGGTCAGTCTTGCAAAGACTGCAAAGTTCTTCCTCCGGACCAACTTCCTGAAACCTTGTTTGAAGTGTCTCACTGAAATGGGTTTCAGAGGAACCTTCAGCTGGTGCAAATTGTTTGTATCACCAAGACAGAGTCAGTCCTGCTGCTTTAGCTGGCATTGGGCAAACTAAAGGGAAGAGGAACACTTCAGCCAGTGCAGTTGGTGCCTGTGTGCTATGGCTGAGAGCCATTGATTGTTTGCTCCAGTATCAACCACTTTGCCTGGTCAGCAGCCGGAGAGTTTCTTGCATTTTAATTTTCCAGGTCACAACCCCAGCAAGCTGGGGAAGGGTGTTCTCTAAGTCAAGACACACACTCTCTATCATGCTTTTTCTAATTCTAAGGCTTCGGTCTTGCAGGCTGCTATGGAAGTGCTGTAAGACCACAGACAGCCCTTGTCTCTGGTCTTCCAGCTGCTGGGAGGGCACTGCCCTGAGCTGGCATGGCAATAAACTCTAACTGTCATGGGATAGTCTCCAGGCAATGAAGTCTTCATTTGTGGAATGGGAACCACATAAAGACCTTTTTCTTCTCCAGACCCTCTGGGCTGATGTTATCCTGATGTCTATAGAACCTTTGCATTGCAACACACCAGTAACCCAGCGTTCTGCAGCCCTCACAAGCCATCATGCAGTGCCATGTGTCTTCCATCCATAGCACCTTTGTTCGTATTCACCCGTGACACCACTGGAGTTGCCATAGCTGTGAAATCAGAGTTCATGAAGTTAATTCTCAGATTCACAACATTTGTTGTGGGAAGAGTGGATCTTCAAGAGGGAGCTGAATCTTTCCTCTTCAGCTTATCTGTTTCTGGGTGTGTGTCTGTGTCTCCATCCTGTTTTGTAGTGCACTGTTGCACCCTTCACAGGTTGGCTCCCTTCCTGCTCCCATGGAGCCTGTCTCAGGGCTCATAGAGAAATCCTGGACTTCAGTGGCATCAGACTTTCCTGCTTTCCCCAGAGTACTCTGAAGGCAGCAGGAGATGAAACATGGCAAAATTTTCCTGGCAACTGCTCAACACTGCTTATCTTCCACAGCAAACAACACTCCAGTATCTTCAGTCCAGTATCATCTCCCATGTGAAATCTTCTGGTGATGGAGTGCAAAAAAAAGGCCTAAGTCCTTTCTTCTCCTGAAGCACAACTGCATTGAGTGGAAAAGAGCCAGAGAGAAAGATTTTTTTTATTGCAGACATGTCTGACCAAGAAACAGGCATTAAAAAGATTTGATAGTGGTTCCAGTGTAAAAGCTTTTAAAGCCATTTCATCTTCTAACAGCCTTATTGGCTTTAATCAGTTCATTTTCATACCTTCCCTTTGGATGTTACCTTCATGTGGTTTGTTCTGAGATGCTGAGATGCTCTGGACAGTCACAGATTCTGTATTGGCCTCCATATTCAGTATTTCTGAAACCCCAAAATACCAGGTACCACCAGTGGTTTACCCCTTCCAAGTCTGTACATCGGGGTGGGAGCTCAGCAGGTCTCCTGCTGTCACATGTGTTCTGAGCACAGAGCTGAGCTCAGGTGTCAAGAGCTGAGGGCTGTGGAGGCAGGGCTGCTTCACACTTACTCCACCTCAGTGCTGCAGTAATTAGTCCTAATGATTACATCGAGGTGAATGTAAATTAAAACCCCAGCTCCAGACACTGCCACAGCATGGCTAAGCCTGAACACAGCCTGTAAAATGGTGACATTTCACCTCTTGAGCCTCTCTGTTTTGATGTCTCCCAGCAGGTAAGAATTGGTGTCATTCCTGCTCACAATTAATTGGGAGAAAAATGGAGGATAACCTGTCTAAAAATCTAGTATGGTGGCAAATGCATTTCATATTAAAACAAATATAAACAGACTGGAGAATGGTTTTTATATGTCTCACCCAGCTCTAGGCATTTTTGCAGGTTGAAAACAGGGGCAGGGTGATGTGTGACTGTTCCAATGAAGAATCAGTGTTGAATGACAATTTTTGGAGATGATAAATTTGCTGCATTGGCCCATCTTGCTGTGGTGGTTTTACTGTCAGATTGTGCCCTTAAAGCATAACATGTAGCTGTTCCTACATGAGAAGTGATCTCTCACCTCTGCTGAGACATTGTAGTGCAGGGGGTTGTGCGTGGTCACGGATCAGTAAATCTGGTGTTTGTGCTGGGCCGTGACAGCTTGGCCACACTCCTCTGGGTCTGGGCTAATGTGCTGCATCTCAGAATCTCAGCATCTCTGATGCCAGGCAGGACTGGAAACAGTTCCGTGCTGTTTGGATAGATAGGGTGAATCTTGGCTTTCTCAATCCTGAGAGCAGATTGGATTCAACATCTTGAGCAGATAAAATCCAGCAGGTATGTGGGTCGTCTTTCCTTGTGTTCAGTCAAATGAGATGTTCCCCAAGAAGGAGGATGGGAGATGTTTAAGTGCAAACTAGACAGAATTGGACTTTACAGGGATTCTCCTGAAAAATTCTGGATCCCATTGCTGTTTCTGCAGGAAGCTGTGATGTGTTCTGTTTACAAGCTGTGTTAAGGTAGGGCTTGATACATTCAAGCTGTTAGTCCTGCTGGAAGGTGATTTAAATGGCAATTTCCAAAAAAAAAAAAAGGGCCTGGGAGTGACACTGGGGATCCGTGGGAGGCGATTCCATTGGGAGGTTACTGCACAGCTGCCATGGAGCAGCTCTTTGCCTCAGTTTCCCCTCTGCCAAAACTGGAGGAGCAATGCTGCTGGGCTGTACAACTTCTCGTGGAGAACAATCATTAATTACAGCTTGGGTAGGATTGCAAGTTTAAGCAGTATTGGCTCATATTGTTTCCC